GTCCCTAAGATTCTTTGAGGGAAGCCATGGCTGTTTAAAGAAGTATGATTCTGCATTAAAGTTATGATACTTTAGACGTATGATGTTGCTTAAATAGGGCCTTACTCCCAGGAAAGTGTGCGCCAGATCACAGCTTCCTGTACCGTACCTTGCACATAGAAACATAAGAAATCTCTGCTTTAGTTTACAGACTAAATTTAGGAGGTGGGGAGAAGGAAGACAGCAGAGGGAAGAATAGAACTGTGCAGACCACCAAAAGATGGATGGAGCTATCAATCACTGAGCTTTTTCTAATCAGCTACACCCTGCCTGGTTAACAAAGAATGGCTCGTTCGCAAAAGCTCTTCTGCTGTTCCTCTCATTAGCATAAATATTGTTTTCCATTATTAGCAGTGCTGCACATTCAACAGATGCAAATTAATCTGTCATCTGAATGAATCTGGGGAAAGGGCAACTCTGAATTCAATTAACTAGGATCTGTCTTACTCTTCTTTCTAGAGAGGGAAAGGATGGTTGTCTTGAGGGTTAACATTTCACAGCTCCAGGAGGGGCCCCAACATTGTTTCTAGAATCCCAGTATCCGTATAAATATTCTAGGGATTATCAAAATTGTCCCATTTCATTATTTTACAGCTCTGCAGGTTTGCTGTGTTCAGTATTCCAATCTGTCTGAATTCCATCTAACTAGAATAATTTCTAAAATTAATTATGGAGCATATGTGATGTGGTGGAGTTTTCAGTTCATTTGCATCTGTTATTCACCCATTTACGTTATAGATGCAGATGAACATTGATGAAACACTATAAAGATGCAATCAATGCAATTGTAGAATTGCATCTAGAGTCCCTTTTGTGCAGTGTTTAACTGATGTGAAGGTACTGTTCTGTTCATTGCTAAAGCACTGCATGGAAAATAATACAACTGTATACATAATAATATCGAGAATATTTTTTCTGTGGTGTTTTATCAACTTACACAAATGAATATCACACTGCACAAAAATAATCATGATGATGATGATATAAATATTACAACTTTTGCAGTGTGTTTTCAAGCACACGTGCATGGAAACTGGGGAGAGTCCATTTGTCTTCAAGCCCATTTGTCTTCAAGTGGTGATTTGGGACCCAATATTGGCCTGACCTCAAAACTGTAAGAATCAAGTAGGAACCCAGTGCCAACTGCTGGAGATAAGGTACCAGGATGGCTCTGCATATATAGCAAAAATACGTGGGTTGAATAAGTGTTTTCAAGGACTGTGGTTGGATAAGAGATGGTGAGATCCTGGGGTAGCAGAAGGTGACTTGCTATAGCAGGCATGTGCAAATTCCATTTTGGGGGCCTAATCTGGTCCCTGTGACAGTTTATTTCTTGGGGTCAAATTGTAAAAAATGCTCAACAAGTTCAATTGTAAAAAAAGCTCAATAACTTCAGTTGGCCCTCACGCATGTTCACTTCATCAAATATGGCCCTCGAAAAAAGTTTGGGCACCCTTGTGCTAGAGAATTAACAGCTCATATGTTGCATTTTTTCTTACATAGTGGGTATGATAATGGAAGAGTTCTCACATCTCACAGTCTCCTTTGGACTCTGAAATGCATTACTGAATAAAGTATGACTATTTGGGATTTTGTTGTAAATATTGGACCCCCTCAAATAGGGTTGCCATATTTTGAAGAGCAAAAAAGAGGACACATTTGCCAACTTCTACTTTTAACTACAGATTGCTATGATAACTCTACCCATGAGAAAGAGGACGCGTCCTGGAAAAAGAGGGCATATGACAACCCTACCCCAAAAGGAATCCTCCCCATACAAAAGTGTACTGAAACAGGAAGTCTAGGAGGCTCCTGTTGCCAACCTGGGTGGTCAGAGGCAGCTGAGGCTCTTTACAGTAAAGTTACTGTACTAAGGGGTTGTCACCTACAGTTCAATGGTTCACCAAACAGAGGAACTCCACACAGAGATCCAGCAGTTGCTGATAAGAAGTAATTTTAATACAAACAGGATTTATATTGCCAAACGGTATCTGATAGAGCATATGGCTTGGTGTGCAGTTATGCAGCAGGTTTTGTGACTGGGGTTCTCTGCTCAACATACGGATAAAGGTTGTTGGCAATGAATAAATCTACTGAATATGCTTTGCAGCATATAGGCAGAAGCGGATGGGCTTTAGAAATCTACTCTCATCTCTGCAACATATTTCATATGGAGGAGTGTGCTGTATTACCGAAGATGAAGATTAGGGGAATGGTAATAGGGAAGACATTGACTCCTTCACCCTCTTGAGTGGAAAATTTAGGGATGAATTAATTTTATTTATTTATTTTTTTACAATTTCCAAATTTCAGCATTAACATTTGAAAGGCAATTTTTAAGCGTTCCTAAATTTAAGTCAACCATGCTAAACTCAAGCATGACAGATTCATTCTGACCAGCTTCCCTCCATAAACTTGCACCCCAGATGGACCTACAACACTATGTGAAGAGAGTAAATCTGAATCCCCTCCCGAGGAAATCCAAAGTAGGAAATTCCTCTTGAGAATTCCCGTCTCAAACCCAAATTGATTCCTGCTCCAGGGTAAACCTTTTAAGATGAGATGCTTAGCTGCCGTGGGAAAGATTTCCTCGTCAGGCACCCAATTTCCTGATCTCTAAATATCTCTCTCCATTCCCCCTTTGGAGACAGCCCGTTAACAGCATTCAGGACTATGTCACTTCAAAACTGAAATGAGCAATGACACATGGTTCAGCAGAAGGTAAATGGATTTTAACTGGATAACGTGTCAGTTAAAGGCTAAATTATTTCCCTCCCTGTCACTTTCCTTTACTTTGTAGGGTGGTATTATTGGCCGTTAGTGACAACCTCTGAGACAAGAGATGCCCTCAGCCCTCGGACGTGGCAATTACCTTTACAGCGATCTGAGTACAGCAAGGGAGCCCTGAGCACAGGTGCTGAAAGCAAGCCATTTGCAGGCTCTCTCCTCCACGGCTCTATCCCCAAACCTATTGGCTCTGAGTCTCTCAGAATGATGCATGCCAAAATGATGCAAAATGATGCCTAGGGCTTGCTGATCAGAAGGTCGGTGGTTCGAATCCCCACCACGGGGTGAGTTCCCCTTGCTCGGTCCCTGCTCCTGCCAACCTAGCAGTTCAAAAGCACGTCAAAGTGCAAGTAGATAAATAGGTACCACTCCAGCGGGAAGGTAAACGACGTTTCCGTGCGCTGCTCTGGTTTGCCAGGAGCGGCTTAGTCATGCTGGCCACATGACCCGGAAGCTGTACGCCGGCTTCCTCGGCCAATAAAGCGAGATGAGCGCAGCAACCCCAGAGTCAGTCATGACTGGACCTAATGGTCAGGGGTCCCTTTACCTTTACCTTTTATGACCAGGGATGGAGGAAGGGGGTGTGGTGGGGGTGGGCTGCCCTGGATGTCACCACTGAGGGGGTGACAAAATGCCAGGCGGCACTCACCACGGGGCCTGCAGCGCGCCCAAGTCACATGTCTCTCCTGGGAGTGAAGTGGTGGCTTAGGCACCCGCAGGCTCCGCGCTGCCCGAAATGGTCCGCCTGCCGCCTCCCCCTCAGCTGTAGGGTGGCTGAGTGGGAGGAGGCAGGCAGACTCCTTGGAGGCCCCGTGGAGTGTCCTGCCCTGGCTTGCCCTGCCCTGTGGGCGGCTGGCACAGGGCATGCACGCTGCCCCAGGCACCCGATGGGCCTGCTCCATCACTGCTATGACACTGATAGCCAGTATGTCATTGTGGTTAGAGCGGGGCAGTTTGCATGGATGCAGAAATCATCATAGACCAAGCACTGCAGGTAGAACTTTCCCATCAATTCTGTTCAATGGAACCAGTTCACACATTCATCTAGGAGTCATCAACTGCTGACGCCTAGAAAGAGAGGCAAATGTGCACGTGTGAACCAGCTCTCCGTTTCCTAAGGTATCCAATCTGAGTTCCAGTTCAGTGACTCCATGGCCTTCCCCAACCTGGTACCTTCTAGATGTTTTGTACTAAAACTCCCAAGATCTTGGGGCTGATGGGAGTTGTAATCCAAAATATCTGGAGGGTCCGAGTTTGGGGAAAGCTGCTTTGAACTGATGTTCAAGGTTTGCTTAACATGCTGGTGCAAGACAAGGTGATAAAAGCAAGCACACACCTTTCTCTTTGGAGTGTTAAAGCCGTATGACCCAGCTTAGTAACTGGAAGAATTCCAGAAAGGACTAGTGAGACCAAGCTATAGGAACACAAGAAGCTGTCTTATACTGAGTCAGACCATTGGTCCATCCATCTTACTAATGTCAACACTAGCTGGAAGCAGCTCACCGGGATTTCAGGCAGGAGATTCCCCCAGCCTAATCTGGAGATAGCAGGGATTGAACCAGAGACCTTCTACATGAAGGCATATGCTCTACTGTAGATGAGCTACAGGCTTTCTAAGAATTTTACTACCAGTTAAGATGTAGCTGATCCCTAGTAGAGTAAACTGCAAATGAATACAACAGCTTCTATCAACAGCCCCCCTTCTCTTGCTTCCGTTACAATAACTGTGTCTAATTTCTTAATTTTCATGCCAGAATTGTATGTGCCTCCTTGTTAATGAGATGTAAATTTGTGTTGCCAGTATGTGGATGTGTTTAATTGCAGGGTAGCTAATCTGTGATTGGCCGGAATGCAACCTTGTAATTGATTGATGTAGCCGTGTGGTTCTTAGACGTTTTTCTCTTGCGTCTCACTAATGGAATTTTGCCTTGGGCTTGGGCTCTGGGAGTGGAAAACAGTGGTATTGGTGATGGCATAAGAAGAGCTTGCTGGATCAGGCCAGAGGCCCATCTAGTCACAGTGGCTGAACAGCAAGCAGGATTTGGGCATGAGAGGCCTCACTCCTCCTGTGGTTACCAGCAACTGGTATTCAGAATCACAGAATCACAAAATTGTAGGGTTGGAAGGGACCACGAGAGTCATCTATTTCAACCCCCGCCAATTCAGAAATCTTTCGTCCAGCATGGGGCTTGAACCCCCAACCCTGAGATTAAGAATCTCATGCTCTGACCATTGAGCCATCCTGTGCAGCACTGCTGCTTCCAACTGTAGAGGCATAGCACAGCTTTCATGGCTAATAGCTATCAATAGGCCTCTCCTCCATGAATTTGTCTAATCTTCTTTAAAAGCCATTTAGGTTGGTGGCCTTCACTGCCACTGGAGTTTCTCTTGAACCAGAAACCCTGGCAGTTAGGCTGTGTCACCTAATCACCTGAATCAACAGCCTCTTTCTGTTCTGCCTGGTAGTTTGAGCTCCATATGTCAAAAGCGCCCTCTGGTCTGCAGTTCTAGTCTGCCTGAGATTGTCAGCTGACCATTGAGGACCAATCCCAGCTCACCAGGCACTATAAAGTCCTAGTTTGCTCTTCAGTCTGAGCAACTGGTCCTATGCATGTGGCCTCCCTTATTCTGGCTACTTCCATAAATCTTGATCTCCGCCTCTCTTTCACGACATGGCAGTCTTTGCCTCCCATCTGATACAGTCATACCTCATGTTACGTTTGCTTCAGGTTGTGTGGTGACCCAGGAGTACCAGAAAGGGTTACTTCAGGGTTTCGCCACTCGCGCATGCGCAGATGTGCAACATGACATCACACGCATGTGTAGAAGCGGCGAATCGTGACCCGCGCTTGTGAACGGGCCTCCGGAATGGATTCCGTTTGCGACCAGAGGTACCACTGTACTTCATTTTTTGCTTTGTGTCTCAACCTGCCTATTTTGGACTGTGGAGTTGCTTTTGGCCCAGTTGGGATGGCAGCTGAACAAAAGACCCAGACTTCTTGGAGCCTGGCTCCTGTGGGGGTCTGGCAGGCTGTGATATCTGAGTCTGGACACAGAGATGACCAATAAGTCCTTTTGCAAAAGACTAGTTGGCATGAATGGGAACGTCACAAGACTTGGATAGTGCACTACGGTTAGCAGACCTCCAGGTCTGACCTAAAGTCCCTAGGTTTGCCAGGTTCCCTCCAGGTGGCAGGTGGAGAGCTTGAATCTCCAGATGGGTGAAAGTCCTTTTAATAAGAATATGAATAAATAAGAGGGATGGTGCCTGTCCTCCTCTGCACCGCTCTCCCAATTATCTCCTGACTCCAGGGGCTGCCCTCATGACATCACCAGTGTCATCCCCAGGTCTCAGGTTTAGGACCTGAAACCTCAGGGTCTGGAATTTTCCTGACCCACTAAACCTATTGTGGACAGAACTCATTATCCCTTTGCTAACCATTACCACCTGGCCTTTTGCAAATATATATATATATATATATAATTTAACTCTATTTTTAAAAGTTTTTATTTATACTTTTCCAGTTTATAGATTTCATTAGATTTTGAATCAATATAACATTTCAAAATTTGACTTCCTTCCCCCTCTTTCTGCTGTTCCTTAAATTTATTTTTAAAAATATCTTCTGCATATCCAAATTCATTTCACTTGCTCATTTAATTATCTACTGTAAATCTATACACTTGTGAAACTGCAGGTTATTACAATAATCCTGCTAATGTTTTTATCTGTTTACAATACAGTACTCAATAAATCATTTTCATTCTTTTTTAAAAAAAGGTTTGTTATCTTGATTTCTTATTCTTCTGGTAAGTTTCACCATTTCTGCATATTCCATGAGTTTTTATATCCGTTCTTCCTTTACTGGGACTTCTGCTTTTTTCCACTTTTGGGCAAGTAGCAAAATGTAACTCTCTAGAGAATATTTCAGACTCTGAAGCTGGAAAGCAAGCTTGGTTCTCAGGTGCACAAAAGCCCTGAACATACACAAGGAACAATGACTGAGGATCTGTAGAAAGGCCTAGGACACCTTTGGAATAAGATGTATCTGGACCTCGCATGATTTTTGTGCATGGAAGAAAAACAAAGCCAGTGAAACAGACAGCAACAGCATAGGCAATGATTCAGGGCCGCAGGAGATTTTAGCTATTTGGAAAGGTCACAATAACCCAAATCAGTCTGTTCATGAAGGATGTGCTTGAGAAAGGGGCTTTGTGGAGGTCGATGGCTGAAGGGTGAATAGACTTTCTGTTTTCTAAAGACAGAGAAATAACAACCCCCCCTTTCAATCTCTCTTGCTTTTCGGAACAGATCCATTCCCGCTGTTTGCATGACTGCTCACTTCAGAAAAATCCCCAGAGGAGGAAAATGAAAGCTCAACCTCCTCCCTCTGCTAATGCCCACTCCTCTTCCCAAATTAAAGTGAAGCTGAGGGAGTCCACATTCACACCATTATGATACCACTTCAAACAGTTATGGCTTCTCCCAAAGAATTCTGGGAATTCTATTTTTGGCTTCCCCCAAAGAATTCTGGGAATTCTAGATAGTCAAGGGTACTGAGAGTTGTTTGGAGACCCCTTTTCCTGTCATAGAGCTGCAATTTCCAGAGTGGTTTAACAATCAATCCTTCTTCACATGGAACTGAGGGAATTGCAGCTATGAGAGGGGACTAGGGGTCTCCTAAGAACTCTCAGCACCCTTAAGAAACTGCAGTTCCCAGAATCTTTTGGTGGTGGAGGTGGAGCCGTGAATATTTAAAGTGGTATCCTAGTGCTTTAAATGCATGGTTTGAATGGTTGAAACTAGCAGCCAGTGGAAGCTGGTCTATTTGGGTAAATGGAGCACTGCTTAACCACCCCGGTGTGTGCTCAGCTAGCCCCCGCCTGCCCCGTCTTCTTACATGCAACCAATCCAGGAATGGGCTCTGGCTGTCAGTTTCCTCCTCTTTAGTCTCAGTGTTGCCCCTTCTAGGACTAGAATTATTTCCCCAGCCTCTCATTGGCTCTGGCGCCATCTGGTGCTCATCTCCTTGTCTTCTACCCAATCAGTCCTGATGAGCCAAAGCCAACACTGCTAACAGGTGATGTTCCCCAAATTTGTAATTACTTGCTGGCTGGTGGTAACCCAATTTATCCTTCTCAGAATGATCAGCTGAATTATTAATCAAGCACTGTTTCTCTGATAAGGTTTTCTCAGGGCTCAGAATGTCCAATGATATGCTATGCATGCACCCAGCTTGATTAAGAACTGTGGAGAACTCCAAAGCTTGATCACTATTTTGTGACATTTTCCTTGGCTTAATGAAGGCATTGCCCAGCAGTTACCTTTGCTTTTGTATACATGCGTGCATTGTCATAATTCAGCATAGAAACACAGGGACACAGGATGCTACCATCTGCTGAGTCAGACCACCAGGTCCCTCACTGCTGTCAACATGACTAATCAGTGGCTCTTCAGGGCTTCCAATGTGAGTCTCTCCAAGCCTTACCAAGATATCCTGGGCATTGAATCTGGGATGTTCTGCATGCAAAGCAGATGCTGTAGGCAGTGGAATCCAATCTGGATGCTTTGTGGTTCCATGAACAGAAATTCTGTAATTCAAGTCCTTAATGTTGATTAAACCGTTACTGATTTCTGGTTGAAAATAATTATTGGCCCATTTGAAGGATCTTAACCTGGTATAATGGAGGACCACAACCCCTCAGAGGGTTCTCAGCTCTCTCTTACATCAGAGGACTGGGCTTAGAGCCACTCTTGAACTCTGCCCTTAGATCTAAGAGTCTCACCACATCGACCATTTATCAATTTAACTTGGCCCTGCAGTACAGTGGTACCTCGGGTTACAGACGCTTCATTCAGGTTGCAGACGCTTCAGGTTACAGACTCCGCTAACCCAGAAATAGTACCTCGGGCTAAGAACTTTGCTTCAGGATGAGAACAGAAATTATGAGGCGGCAGCAGGAGGCCCCATTAGCTAAAGTGGTACCTCAGGTTAAGAATAGTTTCAGGTTAAGAATGGACCTCCAGAACGAATTAAGTTCTTAACCTGAGGTACTACTGTATGTGCATTCAGTTAAATAAGCCATCTCCCAGACTTTCCTCAACGTTTCTGTGATGCTTCTGATGATTCCCAGTATTTTCTGGTATACTGTCTGGCTGTTAACTTTATTACTAGTGCAAGTTCTAGACCAACTTGTTCAGTTTTGTATTTTAAGTAACACAGAACAACCGTTGTAGAATTTGGTGTAAGATGGTAACCTGCAATCTGATGTATAATAGCAAGAGTCCAAAAATGTTGTGTGAGTGGACACGTCCTGACCCCCATATGCTTATAGTCTGCTTTTGACATCCTTCCTTAAATGGAGTCCAGTCTGACTCCCTTTACTCTCCGAACAATCATCCAATGTTCAGTCTTTCCTTCTTCTCCCCCTCCCCACATCAGCATAAAGTAAAAGCAGCCCCTACCATGCACATCTACTTTTAAAATAATGACATTTCCCCCCATTTGCTCCTTTGCATATATTTTATGCAGGTATCTCCCATCCCATTCTAAAGCCTATTCTTGCTCTTGATTACTGTATTTTGTTTAAGGAGATGACAGAATTTCTGGGAGGCCACACACTATGTGGAATGGGAGCAGGGTAGGTGATCCCAAAGTAGAAATTAATTTGCTAAATTTTGCCTGCGTACCTTCAAAGTCAAATTCTAAGGTCTGCTCTCTCCTCCGCAGGTGTCTGGCTCGCAGCTGCTGTGCTCTTCCTTGACCTCACAGCAGCTAATCCAATCACAGTTAGACAAGACCTCTGGTGACCTCAGAGCAGTCAGCCACTCACCACTGGATGACATTCACAGCAGCCTCACAAAGTTTGCCTCAGTCCTTTTCAAAACAGCTCGAAGTGTTGCAAAGAACTTTTTTATAATAGGAATGAAGAGGGTTTCATTTGAAACGCAAGGCAGAGGAGAGAGAATATAGTTTTGTTCAAAAAAAGTTTGAAATATACAAGAATGCAAGAATACCTAATGCTTGCTCATGTTAGTTCATCAAAAGCGTAGCAGATTTCAGAAAGACATCCGGAACTTTCAGATCATTATTCAGAAGCAATGAATCCTCAAACTTTGACCCAAAGTTTTCCTTTTTTCCCCTTTTTTGCCCTATAGAAGCAAATCTACCGACATTGCTTGTGCCTCGGAGCATACATTGTCATAAATCTTGTCTTGGAAGCATTTTCCATCTCCTCACAGCCCTGGAGGA